CTTTTTTCATTTATTTCTGGGCAGATGAAGGCTTGGTGGCAATGTAGGACCAAAAAAACCAGACGATACCTGAAGTCCCAAAAATGCCATGCAAATTGAGTTTATTGTTCCCAAGATGCCCTCAGGATCATAGGCCACTGTTGTTTGGTAGAGCACCTTTGAGAGAGAGAGAGAGAGAGAGAGAGATTCAGTATTAGAGAGGTGCGTACCCAGCCCCGAACTTCCCTCTCCCCTCTCTTGACCCAGGTGCCCATTTCCATCCTTTTGTTGACATCTGATTATTGTCAATGCCAGAGTTAGACATCCCATTGAAATCGCTGCAGCTAGCTGCCCTCACACTGCTGTGGTACAGCCCCATCCCAGGACATAGCCCAAGGAAACTGGTTTTGGAGCAGAATCCCCTCCCCCGCAGGCCAGGTGCTGATATAAAGGAGCCGCTGGTGAATTTGCCTAGCTGCAGATAGGCCAGGCCACCTCCACCCAACCACAGCAGTTCCTAGGTCTCCACATCCCACAGTGGTGTCACCAGAGTTGTCAGCTTAGTTTCAGAGAGCTCTTCTAAGCAAGGACGCATCTGTCCTAACTTTCACATCCCAGTTGACGGCGTGTTGGCATGTAAAGGAGGAAGTATCTCTTTCTTTGAACACTTATGCTAATTTTATATTACAGTTGTTGACATGTTAAACACGGAACCTAACTACAGCGATTCAATGCTTTAGGTGGAAGAAAGAACCACTCACACTGGATGACGGGTGTTGGTAAATGTGCTTCTCTCCCAGGAGCAAGTGATCAATGTAACCGGCTGCTCCTCCGGTGCAATTAGGATATTTTCCAAAATCCCCAATGCCACCAGGGCCAAGGTAACCCCTAGAAGGGAAGCAAAAGGCCAGGGATCTTTGGCTTGCTAACAAACAAGGCTACACTTTGTTGATCTGTTGAAGCACAAAATTCCCTCACAGGGCAAACAGGTCACCCACCAAAGTACATGCTGCCAAGATACAAGTCACACAGACTAGCCAATGTCTGGAAAGCAGAGCACTTGATGACTAGCTAGCACCAGTGTCAACAAGTCTTAGCGCCAGGGCAGCCAAAGAGCACTTCCAGAAACACAGTGCCGCTCGAAAGGGAGAGCTCACCTTTCCGGCCACCAGCCCAGCCTCTCCTCCCTGGCAAACCTAGCTCGTGGGCCCATGGGAAGGTACATCGCACAGTGGAACAGTTTTTTACTCTGTGAGCAGTGATAGACAACCAAGGCTAGTGAATGGGCGGCATGCGTGGCCCTCCTTCGTCTCAGTGGGCCGCAGGACTGAAATCAGTCAGGTGCACTAATTAGCACCCCAAGGAGTAGATTAAATGCTTTAATACCTGGCATGCGGAATATCTCACAACAAGCAGAATTGCTTTAATCACTCATATATTAATAGAACTGTCATCAAGTTCAAATAATAATAATAAAAATGTGCACTCTACAATATCATATCCCTGCCCGGCCTCTTTCCTGCCTCCTCTGCCAAGCGCGTCCCATCCCTGCTTCTTCCTTCCCCCTAGCGCTTCCGGAGTGCCATGACTCGGCAGATCTGTGGTGTGTGTGCTCTAGCAGGGAGAGGGAGGAGCAGCGATGGGGCACACATCGGCCAATGGATGGTGCAGTGGAAGTGCTGGGAAGGAGGGGGAGGAGTAGGAAGTGTGGGGCTCCCAGTGCACGAGACTACCGTGATGGGGACCATCGAAGATTTTAAGTCTGTTCCTTATCTAGGTGAGTAATTTCAATGTCCTCTCCCCAGAGCCAAATATTTCACTGCAAAGTGGGGAAGGAGATGTTTCACTGAGAAACACTCCTGTTGGCTTCCCTTACTCCTCGCAGGAGTACCAGCCACTGGCAAGGGGCACGCTCTGAGTTTGATTTAGTGGATCTTAACTAGACCCACTAAATCAAACTCCGGAAGATCGATCGTGGCAGCGCTGATCTTCCATTTAGAGAAGATACAGCCTGAAACATGGTCCCTACGTAGCAGGATAACCCAACACCACACAGAGATCACCCAAAGGAAAAGGAGCCCAAGCATTCAACTTACTTAGGGCAGCCAGGTACAGTTAACAGGAAGGTCAAACCCAGCCAAGTCGCTTCCAGTGTCAGAATGAAAACCCACTGTGGCCAATAGAGCAGGATATCCTGCAGGGCAGAATAGGGGCTCTCCTGCTTGAGAGGTAGGGAGGAAAAGGATTAGTAACTGAGCACTTGGGGGAAGAGACACCTTTCACTTTTTAACAGACCCCTGGCACTGCAGATGGCTGGCAGTGACAACGGCAGTTTGCAAGGCTTTCTATTTTAACATTTACTTACACACATACACCCTCCCCCCCCATCTGGGGGCTTTCAAAAGATATTTTGAGCAAAATCCTTTCAGAAAACTACGCACTTGTTCTTGTAGTAAAAATCCTTGCTAGGTCTAAAGTGGGTGAAATCTGAAACTCTGGATTCAGCATGGACAAAAACCTGACTTGGGGCAGCAGGCTTAAATAAAAGCACTGTAAGTGATTGGAAAGGGTCGCGTCCAATGTTCCCTCTAATCTTTTCCATCCATGTGCGGCATACATTTGTTATGTGCACCGAGGCACATATGAATGTGCACCACCAGTAGAAATAAAAACCTAACTGCAGGCGCTCGGCCAATCAGCTGGGTGGCATTTGAATCTCTCCCGGGTGGCCGCCCAAGCACTCAGCTTACAGGGAGCCCTGGTCACATCCCAGCATGCTTAGTGTGTTTCTGCTAAGATCTTACAGAGGATAACAAAGCCCTACACTCCGAGTGGTCTTGCTGCCCGGCTTATCTGCCTCATCTTTAGGTCCAGTGGATGGTGCCCAGACTGACATGAGGCGGTCCTAGAAGAGGTAGTGGCATTTGGAGGGCTGACATGGACAGCGGACTGAGTTAAAGATCCAACCCACGCCCAAGGGGCACAAATTTCAGCATTCTTAAGGACCTTTACAACTATCCAGGAGGCAACCAAGCTAGGCCTAGCCACGCAGAGCGGCTGAAATGCACCCCTCTCCGCTCAGTTCCTGGGCCACCCCCTTGCACTGCTCTGCACAGTTAAGATCCCTGGGTGCGTCTAGACTGGCCAGATTTTGCACAAAAACTTGCCAGCTGTCTATACTGGCCGCTTGAATTTGCGCAAGAGCACTGACATTCTAATGTAAGAATTCAGGGCTTCTTGCGCAAATACTTTGACGCTTCCGCTCAGGGATAAGCCCTCTTGCGCAAGAATACTTGTGCAAGAGGACCAGTGTAGACAGGCACCTTAATTTTTTTGCACAAGAAAGCCCGATGGCGCTAAAATGGCCATCGGAGCTTTCTTGAGCAAAATTGCGTCTATACTGGGCATGGATGCTTTTGCGCAAATGCACTTTTTGCGCAAAAGTATCCGTGCCAATCTAGACACTCTTTTGCGGAAATACTTTTAATGGAAAAACTTTTCCGTTAAATGTATTTCCGCAAAATCATGCCAGTCTAGACGCAGCCCCTATGTTTGTGCAGCCTGGCTCCTAAAATCACAGGGAGCTGGTGACAGAAGTGCCAGAGACAGGCAGACACGGCAGGAGGCCGACAACAGGCTGCACGTCCAAGAGGCCAATGTAACAGTGCTGTATAACCTGCCAGTGTTTACAGCCTTCCCCTCCAGCATCAAAGACAGGGCTGGATCCAAGACTCACTCACCAACGTATCACTCTCAGCCAGAGCTTTAGCGAACAGGAGCTCTAAGACGGCAACCACAAGGTAGGTAAATCCCAATCTCTGAAGTACACCTGGAATGCGCAGATTCCCCCAGGACACTAGAGGAGACACACACACAGTGTAAGAGAGAGGCACACCAGGGCTTCTTTTATTCAATATAATACTCCTGGGGAATGTGGCATCACTGCACATTTGTAGAATTCATGTGCCCCACAGATTTCTTTGTTTCTCTGCAGAAAAATGACTGCGGATAGGGAAGCTAAGGGAAGTCACAAGAGCGGTCACACGCTTTTCCCCAGCTGCACAGGCAGGTCAGTTTGGATGCCTGGAGAGGGCAGCAGAGATGTAAATCATCGTGCATGTCAGAGAGAGAGACTGCAGATATTTGAGGACTAATAAACAAATAAAGAATCAAGCTTAGCTACATTACTATGAGACAGAGGGGGCTGGGGATTTCCTTCTGGGCTCCCATTTTCCATCAATTGTACTGTAGTTTAAATAAATTACCAAAATAACTGAAACCAGTGTGATTATATAGTGCTATTTTGACACACAAAATATGTAAAATTTTAAATGACTGTGCAGAGAATTGTTAATATTTTGGTGCCGAATTCCCCCACTAGAAGCGTGACATTTCTTCGAAGGCGGCCACGCTACCTCTGCAAGTACAGGGTATCGGGGAGCAGTAATTCTCCTGAGTACTGCTACCGTATCCTACGACGAGCTCAGAGAGCTGCACAAACCCTCCCATGCTATGAAGCCCCAGGAGCACTCTGGCCAGTCCGGAAAGCAGACTCCAGTGTGTCCAGCCTCTAGGACCTTGTGAGGTGAGAGGGTCCCAGGGTTTTGGCTCCGGTCAGAGCCCAGAAATCGACACAGCAGCGAAACAGTCCCACAGCCCGAGCATGGCAAGTCCGAGCCAACTGGCATGGGCCAGCCGTGGGTGTCTAGTTGCTGAGTAGAAGCAGGAAATTGTGCAATAGCTTCACTTCCACTTAGAGAACAAATGCAGCTGCTCCCTGAGCCGGGGAGCCCAAATGCCTCAAGCTGGCTATGGAGAGCTTCCTCCGGAAGTGGAGGTGTGTACTACTCACCCTCCATGCCACAGCTCTGGGGACTTTTCCTATCTACCCCATCTCACTGCGCACAGGGGCCGGTCCCATGCAATTCAAGCAACACACTTTTGCACTGCACCCCTTCTTCCCCACACAATTTTTTCTCCTACAGGCATTCCTCTCCTGCCCCCTTGCAGCTGCACAGGCCAAGTCCAGCTGTTGTTGCCAGGGTAGGAGAGTCTAAAAGCAAGGACTGGGAGGCCCCCGTCTCCTCTGGACAGGATGTCTTTCTGGAAGAGCCGTGTCCGTCAAACAGCGACTGGATGAACGGATAGCATTCTCCAGCCGCTGTTACACAGGAGGCCAGCTAAGATGATCTACGGGTACCTGCTGGCTTTGTCATCTATGAATGTAAGGGAGGAGACAGCTGTACCCCAGACCGCTATGGGAGTCATGCAGCACAACTGAACGGCTCGCCATCCTTGGTCTATCACAGCACTTGTGCGGAGCTGCCCTCTCCATGCAGGGGGCCCATGGGGAGGGACTGATATAGTCATCCTACAAGCGGCCAGGTAAAAACAGGCAAGCTACAAATTCCGAAAACTACAAGCAACCAACCAACGAATTCTCTGTACTTACACGGTCCCAGACAGTAATTGGGATTGATGACTATGATGCCTATTAGAAACAGCAAAAAACTCCTCCAGAGAACTTTTCCCAACACTTTCCACTTCGAACCACCCCTCCTCAGCATGGAGCTCAGAGACAGCGAGATGGAGGTGCCCATGATAAACACAAACCTAGAAAACCAGGCAGCTGTGAAATGGGTCTATACAGGGAAAAACAAGGTGCACCACACATACGCCAGTGAGCAAGCATTCAGGCTCTATAACATGACATATCGCAAAGAATTCTTAGAAAACTCAACAAACATATCTTTTTCCACACCTGTCAGAGGAGAATTAAGGAAAGCAATAGGATTCCATGCTTACCAAAACAAGCCATATTGCCTAAAACAAAACTGGAATTCTGACCAGCAGTGAGTCTGAGCCACAGTTTGGAACTGAATTTGGGCTCTGCTCCAATTTTCCCTTAAATTTGAAACATAGGAATCACCAGGCTGGATCTGACCTACTAGCCATCTAGCTCAATACCCTGCAGCTGTCTGAGCAAGGTGCAGGAAACCCAGCTGTGGAATAATCTTGTCTCCACACAAAGGTCTCATCTTAACACTTAATCATTAAAAAATAAAAAGAGAATTTTGAATTAATTTAACTATTTTATTTCTTGATTTTTCTTGTTATCAGTAACAGCATGGAGATCTGATCCATATTTGGATCTTGCTAACCGCTTGGCTTCAGTGATATCCTGTGGCAATGAGTTCCAATGAGCCTAATTACACAGAGAGGAAAATACTTTTTCACTCAAATTTAGAATCTGCAACATTCTGATCGCCCCCCGAGGTTTGTGCTGGCAGACAAAGAGAACAGGAGCACCTGATAATTGGAGGTAGCATAGTACTAGCCCGCAGGGCACAGATCACATCACCTAGACTAGCCCTGCCCTTGGCATAGTGGCAGGCCCTCCATGTTCCAAATGGATTTACGGTGCATTTAAGTGCAATGTACAGAATCCCACTGTGCTGACTTTCTAATCTACCACAGGGAGACGTGTGTTCTGTTCAGGGAGTATCCTCCTTCAAACTCTCTCCTGCTGTGAAGCCTAAAAACACCTTGACATTGGTATGGCTGCTGGTGTGCTCAGATCACAGCTCATCATTAGAGCGGATACAGATTTCTATCCTACGGTGCATTTAAGTGCAATGTACAGAATCCCACTGTGCTGACTTTCTAATCTACCACAGGGAGACGTGTGTTCTGTTCAGGGAGTATCCTCCTTCAAACTCTCTCCTGCTGTGAAGCCTAAAAACACCTTGACATTGGTATGGCTGCTGGTGTGCTCAGATCACAGCTCATCATTAGAGCGGATACAGATTTCTATCCGTGGCTGCAATCGGTATCCGCCCAGCCACAGGCCTCTCCTGGGAACCGCAACAGCAAAAGGAGGAGAACATGGGGCAGCCATTCCCAGAGCCAGTGCCCACGTTCTGCTCTTTTCGCCGCTGCTCTGCAGATACCGATTTACATCCATGGATGTAAGTTTGTACCCACGCAGGGCTCTACTCATCACGCTGTCCAACGCTGTCTTATTGTTCCCTTGCACTTCCCAGTCGGTCCATCGGTATCGGTCTGTTAACTCTTTTGGTGCAGAGACTGACTTTTTGTTCTGTGTTTGCACAGTGCCCTAGCACAACAGAGCTCTGGTCCATGACTAGGGCTCCTCGGTGCTACAATACTACAAAAAATAACATTCACAAGGACTTACCATGGAAACACGAGATCTGCTAGCGTTAAGCCTACAAAGAAGCAAAGGACAAGTTTTAATTGCCTCAAAAGACTGAACTGATGATGATCCTCACTGTTAAATCTGCAGAGGAGCTGCCAAATGCCTGTAATGACCCCGTAAACCAAATCCTTAAGCTGCATCCTAAAAGATACCGCTAAATAACTACAGTCCTCCTGTGACTGTAGCTGCTTCACTTTCCTTCCAATCTGTTCGCCAAACCGCTGTCTGAATTAACGGTTGCGTCCCCGGGAAGATTTCAAGCATGGGATCTGCAGTTTAGCATGATGTGAGCACAGCACAACATGTCTGAACACAGGGTTGTCAAGCGTGATCACTGAAGAGGGACAGTCATTGAATGTTATCTGTACAGCACCTAGCACAAGGGAGCCACGACCTGGCTGTCACCTCTAGCTCCTACCGCCATGAGTGATACAGAATATGACAGCCATGCATTTTAGGTGCTGTGTTAAAGATGTACGCAAAACAGTTACGTGACAATACAAAGCCTTCCCAAGACTGGCTGATGTCAGTCACACGAGCTTTGAGCTATTCTCTTGCTAGATACTAGGGGCAAGAGCCTTGCTAGTGTAAATGGTCATAGTGCCACCCACTTCAACAGAGCTATACCTATGTGCAGTTGCGGAGGATCTGGCCCTGTCTATTAATTTCTGTGACAAAGGTCTGCATTAAATGTATGAACCATACTTTACCATTCCAACTCTGATGTTTGAAGAACCAGTATTTTCCTCCTCCATAATTAACAAACACCATAATTATGAGAGAGAGCCTAAAAAGACACACAACATAAGGAAAACACATGTACAATATTGTGTGTCAGAAACAGACACATACGCGTTCAATATTTTACCCCCTTAAAACAGTTTTCAATCTGTCTTTTTTAAAGCAAGACTATGCACAAACAGCCAAGCTTGCTGTTGGGCAATCAGTACACAAACGTCATTCAGAGGAAACAGATGTTGACAGAAACAAGGCGAGAGCTTTTCAAAGTCATGTTACTAAGCATGCTCAGTGTGATTTTTTTTCTCATATTCCCACACAATTCCAGACATTCCACGGATTGGACCTAATAATTCCATGTACTCCACTAACTTCATTTAGCAAGCATCAGAGGGGTAACTGTGTTAGTCTGAATCTGCATAAACAACAAGAAGTCCTGTGGCACCTTACAGACTTAATAGATTTACTGGAGCATAAGCTATCGTCGGCAAAGACCCACTTCGTCAGTTGCATCTGATGAAGTGGGCCTTTGCCCATGAAAGCTTATGCTCCAATATATCTGTTAGTCTATAAGGTGCCATGGGACGTCTCGTTGTTCATTTAGCAAGTCATCAGTGCCCCCAACCTCCTGAGAGAAGGAACAGCATCATTCCTCCCACTGTAGACAGTGAATAAATGTAAACATGCAGTTAAGTGACTTGACCAAGGCTACACAGGGAATTTGGGAGCAGAGCAGGGAACAGTGAGGCTGTGTATTTACTTGTAAGCCTCATGGAGGAAGAGAATGACTTAGTACAATAAAGAAAAATCTACCTAGAAGTTACACAGTGAACTTCAGAAAAAGGAAATATAGATTGGACATCAGGAAAACCTTCCTATCATGCAAATCTGGCAGCCATGGGTCCACAGACACCATGTAAGTTGTGAAAGACCCTTCAAACATGAGAGGACAGATACTGGTAAAGGCCCTACAGTGAACAATTTGAACAGGGAGGGAGAGGAAGAAGATATTATAATATGTTGGGCTGATCAAAGGTCGTCCATCCAGATGGATTTTTGATGGAAAACAATTTTTGACTCAGTGTTTTTCAAGAAAAATTTCTGCTTTCCATAAAAATGTAAATGCTTTGTTGAAAACCTGGATGCCTGAAAACAAAAAATCATTACGTTTTCAGACTCGAACTGAGATATTTTGATTCTGAAATGCTCCCACTGTCACATGGGACTCGCAGTTCTGTTGATCCATGCTCCCCCATTTCTACTGACAAACTTCCCACCCAGACTACATTTCCCATGAAGCACCAAGGTCACGAGACTGCCATGATGCATGGCCTCCACTATCCAAGAGGGAAGACCATGGTGCATGGTGGAAGATTTAGTCTGACCAAGGACCCACCCTATAGAAGATGAGGCACCAGAACTACGACTCCCATGAGGCACAGGGGCAGAATTATCAAGCCAAATATTTTGGTTAACAGACAAAATATTCTGGTTTTGGATTATTTGCTGAAAACTCAAAGTTTTCACAGGAAAAAAATGTCCAGCTATCTGTATTAACAGGTTGTTTCCTTCTCCATAAATCCGCATCAGATTCCATGACGTTCTACCATCCCCGGGGAGTGAGGATTTCACACTGTGGCCATAATTACATTTATTCAGTCCTAGACAAGCTTTATAGCAAGTGGTACGGAAGGCCCTGGGACTGTGATTTACCCGCGGAACGTGTCAAGGGAGCGCAGCCGCCGCTGGGAGACAGTCCACGTAGTTGCTGGGACATTGCTGCTGGTGGAATCTGCTTTGGTCGGGGATCCAAGCTCCTTGGAACAGAAACACACACAAGAGGAAAAGCTAGCAGCTGCCTCCACACCTATGACATCCTTACCATATGGGGAATGTGACTCAGCCAGCTGAGGCCTAGAGATACTGGGCATTTCATTGTACCATCACTAATTCTGTTCTTCCCATTTCTCTCTCTATTCCCCACTGAGGGATTTCCTGTATTTCCCACTTCATACCTCTCACCAGCCGTGATCTTCCTGACGGGAAGCGGGTCAGCTGCTTACACAGCAAATCTACGCTGCTTCTTTAATCAGCATAGGGAGACCAGTCTGGCGGACAGGGCAGCGGAGAGTGACTCAGGAGAGCGGGGTATAATCCCAGTGCTAGTGACCTTAGGTAAGTCATTTAATCTACTTTGTACCTTGGTTCCCCACGAACAGTGGAGATAACAGTTCTCTGCCTCACCGAGTGCTGTGTGGATAAACTTCACTCATGGGTGTGAGGCGCTTAGGACGCCACCAGTGACATGGGCCATAACAACAGACTCCCGAGAGAACAACCGGGGAGCATCACAAAGCATCCTCTCACCCTGTGTAGGCAGAATACCCTCGGCCAGACGCTGATGTCGTTCACACCAGCGTAAATCCTGAGGTGATTCCAACAGCTACATTCCACAACAGCCTGCGTGTAACTGCAGAATGTGGCCACGGCAGGCCCTGCAGCACTTCCAGGCCCCGCTCTGACCACAGAACTCTAGGCCTGAGTTCAGAGCTGGACATTACACCGGCATAAATGTATCCTGAGAATCACATATGTCCACTGCAAATACATTAAATATAGGTGGAGAATCCCATCCAGCCAGAGATGCTGGAACAATTTTTACAGAAGGGGTGCTGAAAACCACTGAGCTAAACTGTAAAACCTATATATAATGGACTCACTTCAAGCCAGGGGATGCACTCCTAGTTCCAGCAACCCCACAAGCTGAGACAGCGGTCTGCCTACACTTCAAGGATTGCCCAGGAACCTATTCGCGAGCAGGATGTGGCTGGCAGTTTACTGACTCTCCAAAAGGACTAGCTGGTGTGAACGTTTCAGTGTAAAAACATGGACTTGCAATTCAGCACCTTCTAGCAACTCACAGAATTAATGAGACGATCAGTGTCTTCAGGGTTCAATTTCTTGTAAAACCAGTTCCTGATGGGATCAATGCTGTGAATCAATAACAGGAAAAACCATAATCATACTCCACTGTTTATTCAGAACACACACGACATACACCAGACACCGAGATCATCTATTTCTGTTTTTAAAAGAGATTTTCATTGGGCAAAACAATATACCTCTCCTCCCACACAACCCCTACCCCCCACATTAGTACTTTATTAAGTTTGCAAAGTCAAACGCTCAAAAGTTAGTGTGTCAGAATTAAGGTGGTTCGTGCAACCTTAATTCACCCCTATTGTATGTTTATACTGTGGTACTGTCACTCCATGCTCAGATTTCCCCCCCTTTTTGTTCACATACGGGCCCAAAAACAGATTTTCCAAACTTTATCATTAAACACGGACTTAAACCCCATTGACTTTAATGGGTCTCAACCAGCTGCTGAACTGCGGTTCTGAACAAAGGATGTTTCCTGATTCAGGCTCTACATACCCCAGAGTGCTGGAAGCACAAGGGAGCGTTCCCAGTGTTAAACTTTGCAAAACTGTGGTTTAGTTGGAGTACACCCACATCTGGAAAACAATAACTGTATGATGATTAAATTAAGTTGGTCTGAACTGTTACGTGGCTGCCCAAAGCAGAATCCATCCCCCGGGGATGACGATAAGGAATTAAACACATGCTTCGGAGCGTTTCTGAACTCAGGCCTGCATTCTCATATTCCTTTCTCATCCCAGCTCCTGTGCTACAGTGTGACAGAACAGCTAAAAATACAGAACACAAGGAGGATTGCTTGACAGATATAAAGCTACATGTACAGTGCAGGCATTGCAAACACAATAAGGGCACAGGAGTGATTTTAGTGCGGGTGAAATGCTACAGAATGACAGCCTAGCAGAAGGTATCCCTAAAAAAATAAAACAGCCCAGGTAGCAGCAATGCATGTCCCCTGAGCCGACTGCAGAGGACCCAACATTCAGCTGCAGTGACTTTTACAATTGAGGCGCTATTTAATTTGCCACAGCTGGCTCTTCAGTCAGACCAAGAACAGCAGTATCCATCAGCCACCAACTGTAATGCAAACACCTAGCACTGGACTGAGAGTACCAGCAACTGTGCGCAGTGTTGTAGCTGCCTTGGAGCCTGCATATTAGAGCTCGGAAGAACTCTGTGTAAGCTCGAAAATTTATCGCTCTCGCCAACACAAGCTGGCCCCATAAAAGAGATTACCTCACCCGCCTCATCTCTCTAGCACCTACCGCTGTCCGACTGTTCAGACACTACCTGTCTGGGCCTGAAGAGGTGAAAGTTTCCATGTCCCAATTTTGTGAGCCATCCAGTCCCCCATTAACTCCATCATTTCACAGTAGCTCTTCTAAATTCAGTCAGCAGTTAATCTAGTGAATAAATTTCTTATCTTCAAATCCAGAGCTTGGCCTTTGGCAACTGAAAGTTCCGGACAGTCAGCTGGTGCAGATCAGACCAGCTCCAATGAACAGGAGACTCCAGCTAATGAACTGTAAGACAGGCCAGCTGAGGGCTTGTCCTCAAGAGACAGCAGGATCTTTTTGTTCTGAGTTTGTACAGCGCCTAGCACAATGGGCTCCAGTTTATAACTGGGGTTGCTGAGCACTATGGCAATACAAATAAACAAAGGTAGTTTCTGCGCTTTCCCTTACAACAAAAAACGCAAGAGGTTCTCTAATACGTACAGGAAAATTACATAATGTGCACTTACATCACAAAGACACGTCCCAGGGTGACGATACCGAGGAGCCCCATATAAATGAGGAATGCATACAGGATAGCTGCAGGAAAAGAGACATTTTCATAGCTGATGTAATAAAAACAATGGGTATTCGGGGCCCGATACATCAATGGGCCGTAAACTAGAGAAACCCAGCAACAAGTTAGCTTGCAACAAGAGAGGTTAAATTTTTTGACCTGAAATGATTTTTCATATCAAAACTTACTTCAATTTTATGAAAAATAAAAAAAATAAGGCTCAAAACCAAAACGTTTTGTTCAGTCTGAAATTAATACCCTCATCCCCAATTTTTGGGATGTCCAAGGAACCTTTAAAAAAAACAACACTTCTTCACGTAGGTGTAGTCTCTTTAAAGTTAAAGGAATAGGAAATATTAAAGAATTACTTACTACAAAGAGCAAGAATGGGGAAAGATGCTAATTAAAGACAGAAACATCCCTGGGAGGGGGACACAGAGAAGAGAGACAACAGACATTAGCATTAAACGAAATGGGTGGCTCGACAAGCTTAAACAAACCAATTCAAGGCGGCAGAAGCAGGGCATAGCAAGTGCAGAGGACCAAGCTGGGCATGTGTGTTTTGGGAGGAGAGGAAGTAGGCTCTAAATCTTAAAATAGAATGCAGCCACATGCCTTGTGACTGTTTTCTTTTGTGTGCCATTTAAACTGTAAGCTCTTCGGAGCAGGGACTGGCTTGTGCTAAGCGTTTGTACAGTACCTCAGACAATGGGGCCCAACCGTGGTCAAGAGCTCCGAGTGCTGATGTAACATATATACTGAGAGACAGATCAAGGTCACAGGGCAAGAGAAAGGAGTATCAGTCTCCGATGGCACCTTGAAGACTAACACGTTTATTAAGGTATAAGCTTTCATGAGTTGCAGCTCACTTCATCAGATGTATGGAGCGAAAGAATCCAATGGCAGAGATATAAACATACATTCAGAGATGGGAGCGTTACAACAGTGTTAACAAGGCTAATTCAATCAGGGTGGATGCAATTTAAAACAACCCAGCAATTATGCAGACACTTTTGACTGTCTTGCACAATCAACTGATATGATGTGGCCTGCCCCCTGGCACAGAGGGGAGCAGAAACTGACCGGACAGTGAACAATTCAGGTAGAAGAGCAGTCAAACATGGAGTCAGGAAACTTCAGAGAGAGCTGGGACAACATGGCAGACGTGAAGAATCATAGAACACTAGAACTAGAAAGAACCTCAAGAGGTCATCGAGTCCAGTGCTCATGGCAGGACAAAGCACCATCCAGATCATCCTTGACAGGTGTCTGTCTGGACTGCTCTTACCTATCCCCAATGATGGCGATTCCACAACCTCCCTTGGCAATTTATTCCAGTGTTTCACCACCTTGACAGGTGGGAACTTTTTCCTAATGTCCAACCTAAACCTCCCTTGCTGCAATTTAAGCCCATTGCTTCTTGTCTATCCTCAGAGGCCAAGGAGAACAATTTTTCTCCCTCCACCTTGTAACACCCTTTTAGGTACTTGAAAGCTGCTATCATGTCCCCTCAGTCTTCTCCTTTCCAAACTAAACAAGCCCAGTTCTTTCAGTCTTCCCTCATGTTTTCTAGACCGTTCATCATTCTTGTTGCTCTTCTCTGGACCTTCTTCAATTTCTCCACATCCTTCCTGAAATGTGGTGGCCAGAACTGGACACAAAAATTCAACTGAGGCCTATTCGGTGCAGAGTAGAGCAGAAGAAGGACTTCTCATGTCTTGCTCACAACACTCCTGTTAATGCATCCCAGAATCGTGTTTCCTTTTTTTGCAACAGCATCACACTGCTGACTCATATTTAGCTTGTGGTCCACTACAACCCCTAGATCCCTTTCTACAGTACTCCTTCCTAGAAAGTCACTTCCCATTCTGTATGTGTGAAACTGATTGTTCCTTCCTAAGTGGAGTACTTTGCATTCGTCCTTATTAAGGACAAGAAGGATCCTGTTGGCCTCTGACATGAATGAGTTCGTTGGTGATCTTCATGAGAGCAGGTAACATGGAGAGGAGTCTGATGAGAAGCAGAGATCACGTATGAGTCGGGGGGGAATAAGAAAAGCAGGTGTTAGGCAGGTAAAGAAGTGACCAGTGAGGGATAAGAGTCAAGGGTTTGGAGGAAGAAGGTAGGAGAGACCATCCAACATCTGAGAGGAAGGAGCAGGGTGTGGGAAGGTGGTGGCCTAGCAGGACTGGCAGAGGGAAAGGGAAACTCACTTACAAGGTGGCAATATTTTCCTAGACGAAAATAGCAGAATCTGAAGCCAAGAGGGGTGGATCTGAAGGGAGCTGAAGCTGGAGAAGGAGCAATGAAAGGATGCAAGTGCGAGAGTCCACCAGGGAGCAGAAATAAAGCTACACATTAAGGAAAATGGCAGAGTTGAAAGAAGGACAAACTGGTTGTGGAGACAATTGCTCTGGTTATTGTATGTAATCCAGAGACGTGATACATTGGAGGTAAGGATATAAATATCATTCAGAACAGTTAACCAGCTAAACGATTAGAAGTATATTGGTTAGCTGGCTAGCTGTTGGTGGGCCAGCGCAGGGCAGGCAGGGCGGGGGTGTCTCAGTTCTGTGGGCAAGGGCTGTGGTCATGGCCACAGCTGAAGTTACAACATGGCTGGGGCCAGGGCCCTGCCTACCCCCACCTGGAGTTCAGAGGGCCAGGGCACCATCTGCCTTCACTCGGGAACAGGCTGCAGCGGGTGCACCCCCACCTGCTGCCCTGACTTATCCGGATTACTGCCAGCCAGCCTGTCCAGTTACCCAGTTATCTAGAAAGCATTTTGGTAAGCCTACTGGGTAACCTACTGGGTAATCTTTTACATCCCTAACTGGGGATTGGGAATCAGACCTCCTGGAAGCTGTTAGTTTTGATAGTTGCCTTCCATTCAGGCTAATCAAGTGAACAATAAAATGGCCCTTTGGTAATTACTAGTTAAAACGATGGAAAATCAGTTCCCAAAGACTGGACTGTATGCAAAACGGGGCCATGAAGTCCACGGGGTTTCCCAGAGGTCTCATGACAAAGTAGGGGACCGATTGCAGCTATGTGTCAGAAGCAGTGAAAAACCACAGAATGTCCTGGAGAAGGCAACAAGGAACCCTAGATGCAGGCAGAGATGCATTTGTAGGGGAAAAAAAGCTAAAACAGAGTGTGTTTGGGTAGAGTGAGAGGAAGGGGGGCGGGGCGCTGACTTACATTGCCAGGAGGCATGGCCGTATATGTCAGCATTACAGACACACAGACAGTGGGCTACAAATATATGATAAACAGGAGAACATGAAAGAAATCCCTGATTCCATCATCAATTCATCTTTCTAACAAGAACAATTTGCAAGACCCCTGAATATTGGCTAACTGTGGCATGAGAGCAGGAGCACAAGGAGTAGATCCAGGGATTTGCTAGGAAGGGAGCTAAAGAGAATTTTAAGAACCATATTTCCTGAAAGACAAAAAACATGAGTTACCCAAGGAAAGGGGGAAATAAAGAGCTACGTACGGAGATGGCTGTTGACAGGGCTTTCATTGATGATTATGTCACAGGAAATCTCCTTGGTGCTGCGACTGGAGTTCTTTACCACAAGAGAATAGTTTCCAAATTCTCCAAAATGATAATGGATCCTGCAAAGAATTAAGGTAGACCAGATTTTTCTTTTGTCCTGCTTGGTCATTGCTGGTTACTACAGGTTAGCTCCTGCTCCGTGATTTGGCACTTTCAATGCACTGTTCTTTCAGCTGTTCCTTTGATTGGCCTCCCAGAGCCACTCCTAGCTGTGCTGGTTTAGCTTCCCCTGCTGTACTGTCTGATCACTCCAATCCAACCCCACCCTTGACGCACTCCACATAGCCAGAAATGGTGTAGCAGGAACTATGACTTCATAGACTGTTGGCCTAATTTCATTGTTGGGTTTAGCATGTGGGTTCCTGGTGGCCTGTGATATCCAGAAGCTCCGACTACAAGATCTGGTTGTCCTTTCTGGCCCCAAACTCTGACTCTATATGCATTTATACATCACACAGCACCTTGAGGCGCAACTTGTGATTGGGTGAGCCAGACACTACCATAACCAATTATATTTTGATACTGTTGGTATTATGAAGGTTAAACTGCAGGCGTAACTTCCCAAATTCCGAATGATAACTGCGGTGGGGAGGCCACAGACAGTGGCTGGCAAGTGACAGAAAACGTACACATTAGTGGGTTATTTCAACCCACACGATCTTCAGATCGGTTACAAACCTGGAAAGCTCTTTGCCTCCCAAAGTGCCATTGAGCTGGAGGGTGACTGGATGCTGAGAGTCCACTGCAACTGCTGCTATGCTGGGCTTTCCCGACGTGCTGCTCACTGGAACGGATACCAGGCCCTGATACACACACTAGAAAATAAGGACAGGTGAAGGGTTACAAAAATTTTAAAACGACTTCATTTTAATAGGTACAGCAAAACTCGTTTTTTGGGGTTTTTTTTAAGTTTAAAGAGAAGTACGAAGGAAGCCTGGCTTGACCAACAGCAAGCAGATAATACTTCTGCAAGCTGCAGCTGGAGGAAGAATTATTGGCCAATATTTTCAAAAGCAGAAGCCTAAAAGTTAGGCATGCAGGGTGGAGTTTCAAAAGGGCCATTTTAACAAAATTAAAACCCAATGCATTAAATACAAATTACAATACAAAAATAAATCAAAGCACTGGAAAATTAATCATTCCCCCCCCCCTCAGTTTTCTCTAAACAAACTTCTCTCTTTGGTCATATTTTCTAGACCTTGAATAATTTTTGTTGATCTTCTCTGGACTTTTTCCAATTCCAGGCCATAAAAGAGTGTTACAAAGAGCAGGAAGAAAAATTGTTCTTTTTACCTCTGAGGATAGGACAAGAAGCAATGAGCTTAAATTGCAGCAAGAGAGGTTTAGGGTGGACATTAGGAAAAAACATCCTGTCAGGGTAATTAACCACTGGAATAAATTGCCTACGGAGGTTGTGGAATCTCCATCATTGGAGATTTTTTAAAGCAGGTTACACCTGTCAGGGGTTGTTGAGATAATACTTAGTCCTGCTATGAGGGCAGGGGACTGGACTAGATGACCTTGCAAGGTCCCAACCAGGTCCTATGAGTCTCTGACATTTTAAACACTAGTATTCCCACAATCCCTTAGCATAACAAGTCTTTGGGTATGTCCATACTGCATTCAGAGTGTGACTGCAGCTCACACAGACATAACCCAGTTAGTTTTAGTCTAACTAGCCCAGGCTCTGGATCGGTGAAGGCATGGCAGTGCACACCGCCACATGAGGTAGTCCCGCAAGTAACTATCCAGGTTTCTGGGCAGGACTGTACATCCCACAACGAAGCACACACTGCAGGGGCTTCACTGCTCTGCTACCTCAGCTAACTAGATGGTAGGTCCAGTGCCACGTCCTTGCCTGTCCTAGACCCAACTCTTACATTCGTGTACAAAGGGACAGTGTTGTTTACCTGGTAACAATAATCAGAAAGCCAGGAGACTGTCAAGTTCTCGTCGATCAGCTCATTGTGAACCAGCAGCAAGGCCTGGTCAATTTTCAGATCTGAGGGTCTCCCTCTGGCTAAACCTATTAGGATGCAGAAATAGAGAGAAAGAGGCAGGTAAATAGCTTGGAAGGGGAAGTTTGGCATAAGGCACTTAAAGACATAAGGCAACTTTGTGACCAGGACTGAAGACAGTTCAGTTGACACTTTATCACAGTTGTGCCAATCCCTGCACATTTGGGGCAGCTCATACTGGAGAATCTGATGAGGTTCAACAAGGACAATTGCAGAGTCCTGCCCTTGGGATGGAAAAACCCCAGCACTGATACAAGTTGGGGATGAACTGGCTAAGCAGCAGTTCTGCAGAAAAGGACCTGGGGGTTACAGTGGATGAGGAGCTGGACATGAGTCGACAGTGGGCCCTTGTAGCCAAGTAGGCTAACAGCATATTAGGGTGCATTAGCTTGAGCATTGCTGGGAGATCTTCAGAAGTGATTATTCCCCTTTATTCAGCACTGGTGAGGCCACATCTGGCGCATTGCATCCAATTCTGCCCTCCTCCCCATATCAGAAAGGATGGGGACGCACTGGAGTCCAGCAGAGGGCAACAAGAATGCTGAGGGGGCTGGAGCACATGACTTATGAGGAAAGGCTGAGGGATTTGAATTTATTTAATCTGCAGAAGAGAAGAGTGATTTGATTCTGTGGTCTATGGATCACAGAAGTTAAAAGGAAAAAACCTCTTCTCTCAGCGTGTCTCTGGAGTACTATTATGCCACTAGGGGTTTAGCGGGGGTGAGGGGAGGCCTGAGGGGGCAGAGGAAATTGGAGCACATGACTTATGAGGAAAGGCTGAGGGATTTGAATTTATTTAATCTGCAGAAGAGAAGAGTGATTTGATTCTGTGGTCTATGGATCACAGAAGTTAAAAGGAAAAAACCTCTTCTCTCAGCGTGTCTCTGGAGTACTATTATGCCACTAGGGGTTTAGCGGGGGTGAGGGGAGGCCTGAGGGGGCAGAGGAAATGAGGGGGGG